TTAATAGAGCAATTCTATAATATGTGGATAAAGGCTCGAACATTTAAGTTTTCCTCATTTTTCCACTTCAGTCATACCCTAAAATCTTGAAAATAAGACGGATTTAATAATAAGCCGGTTTTGAAAATAAGCCACCTATTTCTTGCATTAAAAATTACTCGAAAATAAGCCAGTTCTGAAAATAAGCCGGTCATGACAATGCCATTTAGGAAAGATGTTAAACGTTTGACGATTGCCTCGTCTTAAAAATTTGACGATTGAAAACTTCGACGATTTTTTTTACTGTGCAAAATAAACTGAGTTATCTTTCTTTAATTCATTTAACCTTTACCAATTTCTGCATACGACATGATACGAACTAAGTCTGTAGAAACAAATGAACTTATGTAAAATTCCTAATAGTGGGTAGTTTTTAAAGTTGTTATTTTTTTTACCAGTAAGCATGTTACGCTGGCTAAAAAAAATTCATTGCGGAACCAGTAACATGGTGAATTTTTTTTTCATAAAATTGTCAGAAACAATAATTATCTCATCCAGACCTGTACAAGCTAACAGTGTGTTTAAAATTGTTATAATTAAATAAGTAAACGGATAAAAGGAAGATTTTGTTTGTAAAGCATTTAACTGTCAGGTAACACTGCCCGAGGCAAGAAACGTGCTAATCAGCAGGGCTTGGTAGTAATTACATTTCAATGTACCGTATAATTGAGTTGGTTAAATATGTGTTTGTTTGACTAATTTATCAAGTGATTCAATTACAAGCGGATATCTTATATTTTATTTTTACTTTTCAAAAACAAGTTTATATTTCATGTAAATTTATAAGCTGTAAACAATGAAATTATCTTTTCGGGATCGACATTCTCAAAATATAAAGTAGACGATTACACCATAGACCAAAAGAAAACATACACCGGGGAATGCCAATGAGTAAAAAAATGACGAGAGAAAACTTTGACGAGCTAAAGTCATTCGTTAATGTTTCCTCCTTGTCAAACTTTCCACTTTTAAGTATTTTTTTTCTACACGCAAGATACTGAACAAAGTATTATTGTAATTATTTTATTTTATTAAATTCATGATGGTTTAATTTTAAATCGAACAAGTACTTCCTATTCTATCGATTACACTTTATTCAATGATTGTATTGAAAATAAACCGAAATTGTGCTCTCTTCTCTTACCAGTTTTTTGCATTGATAATAAGCCGGAATTTGAAAATAAGCCGGTTTTGAAAATAAGCCCCAACTTTCTTACCAAAACTTAAAATAAGCCGCGGCTTTCCTGGAAAAATTGAAAAAACCGTATTTTTTTAACAAGAAAAGAATTGATTAAGATTAATTGTATTTGTGGTGTTTTAAGTCCAACTCAAGATTTTTTGCTTTCAAATAGAGTCATCATTAAATCAATTTTAGATCTCCATTTGACTCTCGGGGCCTTTGAGCAGTGAGAGTCCTTTGTTTTGTTAACACCACTGTGACATGGGACATCAGTTTTAAGATGTCATCCAAATGAACATTGACTTTTTTTTCTAGACTTGATGAGGGAATATCAAAACCGTTGTTTACGTCATAGGTTTGAATCGAGAATCAAAGGTGCTCCCTTCCCTATTAAAAAGGGCGAGGAAAGAGTATGAAATTGGGTGAAATTTCAATAAACAAATGTTTTTAATTGATTATAAGCTTTTAAAAAAATGAATCAAGTTCATTTGATACCGATGTTTGTCAGTCGGAATAAAAAAGGGAAAAAATATGGAGATGGAAAACAATATTCAAGCTCAAAAGTTCATTAAACAATACAAAGTCTGGAGCAGAGCAAACACGGACCTTTAAAACATCAGGAGTTGGATCAAGTGCAATGAAGGGGTGAGCATCCCCTACCAACCTGTCACATCCGCCGTGTGCTCCGTGTCAAGTTTTGGAAAGAATGAAATAATCCATTGACGAATTCGGTGTGTAAAAGATATGTTTATATCTGTTTACAACTATTAATGTTCTCATTGAGATGTTTTCATGGTAATCTTTTGTGTATTTATGGCATTCATTTCACCTATGACCATATAGACATGTCAAATCCTATAATAGTACATGTATCTTTTTTCGATAGTCCACATCTTTTATAGTTTAATATTGATATGACAAGGATTTTATTAAAAGTGAAATATTTCTAATAATATTCAGTTCTATCAGAGAAATGTCAACCATTTGATATTTACCAATCAGGATTACCCACTAATTTGCACTTCATTCAACATATGATTTTTTTCACATTGGCACTGATCGAAATCTTCTATCAGTACCAAACATATTGTTTCAAATCCACAGCCTATGCAAAGTATTTTCAGTCTCGAAATACTGGTGAAGAAAGGGCATTAAACAGTAGATCTCTAATGTCAGCATTTTCGAAATTGAATCAACCATCAAATAATGTCATGATGTAACTTGTACGCTTTTGCCCTTAACCTATACATGACAACGAATTTGCAAGCTGATATTTTCTGCTTAGTATTAAAATTGAACATGCCACTTTCCTCCATGCGTTTTCAAATAAAAACTTCATTTACTGAACATGCAATCAACATAAATGTAGAATCATGGAGATACATTCATTATTTATTCATATTTTAAGAAAACGGTGACAGGCTCATTTATTATCCCTCATATTTGTAACCTCCTCTTAAAAATTCAAATTTACATCCTGTATATACAGTTAATTATAGAATCTAAATTTTACGAGAAAGTCATAATAATCAAACAAACAGATTTTTAACGTTTAGGCGCTTCAAAAAAATAAAAAATAAATAAAAACCCATATCCTTACACCGAATTAATGTCAATTTTCCTTTATTATTTAGCAATATTACAAAACCAAAACATATAATTTTTATGTCTTCAAACTGAATCGATGTGCAAGCATCCCCTTATTACAACCAATTTTAAATTAGATAAGCCACTGACAAATAAGCTTATGTTCAAGGGTTTAAAAACACTGATCTCGCAACTTCCATAGTTGTTAAAATAACATTTTATTGTGAAATGAAACGTCTCGTTGGATAGTGTTTTGTCTTACATGTATCATGTGTTAGGTCCATGCTTTTCTACTTCATTTGATGTATGTCGTCTGCCCGATCAATATATAGGTTAACGGCATGTGTTACAGAGCATACTTACTCCTCCTAGTAAACATTTCTTAATTTCTTACCAAATTAAATTTGGCCAAGCTGATAAGCTTTTAGTTATAGATACATGTATTCTACGACACCTTGGTTTGGTTCTTATTTTGAAATTTTGTCCAAATAATTGATAGATTTTTGTTTTTTTTACGAGCTTCATTGTTTTAAATCTCATTGAAGAAAGATCATTTGGTGGTTGTTTGTGAAAGGACGTTTCATCAAATCGCCATCCCCTCTCCTGTATTATGTTAATAATAAATAAAATTCCTTAATTTTGTACAAATTAGGGAATTACCGGAACTATATTGCAATGAAGTTTTACAAGAGAATTGTAAAAAATAACAAATTTAATAATTAATCAAATCTGTCATAAAACATAGTATTACAAAACAATTGACCCTTTAATTGCATTTTCTCCAGAAATGTAAATCACTTCTTTTTATGCTTTACATTTAATAAAAAGAATTTTGGTGAATTCTAATGCATATTTTTTATATAAATAATTATCCCATTACACATCTCCCAGTTTAATCAACGCCAAACCTAATGTTATTTGTACAAAATTTCAACAAAACATCTGAAATTAGTGTCACTTACCTATTATGCTAGGGAGAGAAGAACGTTGATGGTAAGAGTAATTTTTGCAGTAAATTCACAGCCATTTTTAAATTAGTTTCTATAAAGCATTGCGTTTTAGGACTACTGCATTTTATGCATTGTGTATAATGTGTGAAATACAGTAAAATGATCAAAAATGAAATAATTGAGAAATCTGATTAGTTTTTTCTCCATGTTCAAGTGATAACAAAGAATTTCTTCTGTTTTTTTTTATTAATCTTTTTAATATATAGACTGCATGATCATATGTTTTCATGAATGCATCTGGATAAAATAAAACTATAGCATTAAAAAGTGTAAGGACTCTTACTTTCTAAAAAAAAAATCATTTGCACTAATCTTGAAAGTGAAAAGGGGTGGAAGGGTGTGAAAGTTAAAGTACCTGTGATGTGATGTAAGGTTATGAAATGTATCCTAAGACGTTCATTTTTGCGTTTTTTTTAAATTTGGACTTTTTGGTAAGCCATCAACTTGCCCCAGTAAGTTTCAAGTGATGGATGTTTTATTTTGATAGAATAATGTCATATATACGTACTTTCCAAGAAATTTTAATTTTTCTTTTGTGTAAATTGTAATATTTCATTATTTAATTAGGCAATCAATCATATTATTTCACAACATTAGAACCACACCAACTTTTTTTCAGTTGACAAGAGTCTGAGTCATTCTGAAGTTAAAATTTTTTGAAAGTATGTGATACTGTATAAAAAAATCAATCAATCAATAAAATGAAACTAGCTTGCGTAATTTTATCATGTCTAACGACAGATGTTTAATAATGTCAAAGTTTCAATTCATATGAACTACATAATGCAATAAGTATGTTGCAATGAAAAATCCCATCTTCATTCTACAGGTCAAGTATAGAATTGAATCAACCTTGCCGTCAGTAATATTTCTGTAGTTTAGGTCGAAAGAAAAAAATATCGAAATCTAGAAATATTATCAACATTTTAGATATACAAATTAATAAAAATGTGCGTCTAAATAATTACATTACCAGAAATTTTCTTTCAAATTTCGATACACACATCACAGCAAATTATTCAAATGTTTGTCACAACAAATCATCAACAATTGCATGTGCAAATTCCTCTTGCTCTTTCTCCTTGCTAATTGGAGTTTATCGTTACCACGTGGTTCTTGTAATCAAATAGCTGCGACAGTAGGAAATGAATAAAATATGGATTAATCAGAAGGTTTATTTTTCTTGTAGAATTCTGACTAAACACCAAAATGGGGATTTTATCTCAAAAAAGGAAAAGGAGAAGGCAGGAATTCACAGGCTTAAAGGTTGGTCTTTATTGATAAATTACTTTAAAAGTTACTAACTGTAACTGATTGAAATTCAAGTCTTCTTCGTACTGTTGTATAAATGCATCTAAAGCTTGTAAAAAAAAATTTTCAAAAATAAACTGTGATTGAATAATAAATAAATATTCATTTCTCCAAAATACTTAAACAAAATATGAGAGTTTGTTTCAGAAGATATAGCGTTTCTGTTTAAACATTTTTAGTTAACCTCAGTTGTTTACCTACCCTCTGAAGTATCTATTATGGTATGTTTTAGGCGCTGGCGTCAGGTGTCTTAGCTATGGCAAAAGCTCATGCCGAACTGGACAAAACAGAGAAGAGTTTAGAATATGAAATAGAAAGGGAAAATCGAAAACCACCATCTTCATGTATTGGCAGGTCAGACATTAGTTTTCATAATTTAGCCTGCATGCATTTTAATATATAGCGTGCTCTCTCTCTCTTCCAAAATCAATAAACTCGCTTGATGTTTCTTAATTGTTTTAAAGACCTGTAAAATGTAATTCTGAAACATTTGAACTCTGTTAACATATATATTATCGCTGTGTGATACACTCTCATTGGATTTACAGGTCACGATTTTTGGGATACAATTTAATGCATACCAAACATGTGTTGATGTGTATTGTCATCTTAAATGTTATTGACTGTGTCCTCGTGCTTGGGGAACTCATATTGGATATATTCTATCTCAAGAGTGAGTATATTTTTTCTTTGATATCAAAATTTAGACGGTCACCCAATCTTTCTTTGTTTTATACTCACATTAAGCTCAATTTTAACAAATCAGATAATTCTATAATTAATGCAGTAGAAAAGAAAATCGAGAAATAATAATAATGGTTTAAGTTAACTAGCCAATATATAGCTAGGCTTTACCTTTGATTTATTTGACTGGTTTTAAATTTGGGACATATTTTTTCATTACGTGACTTTTGTTGAAAATTATTAAGCATAGGCCAAATATTGACATATTTCTGCAGTGGCTTTAGAGTGTTCTTCTATGATGTACTCAATAACATGATTTTCCAGGAGTTCTTGACCACGAAGAAATGGCTAACTTATATTTCGTGAAAACAATGAAATCAACATATCCAGAGGATTTACACAACCTTTATGAAACAGACATCAATGTTTTACATTCCATGATTCTGTCGTCTCGAGTGGATTTCACATCGGTAACTTCTGCATCATACAGTCCTTTAGCGTTTATTTCTTCTGTGGATTCTCAACATAATGAAACTAATTATCAACAACAGCCGAAATTGGACAAACGGTCCCTTGAGACTACTGGCGTGTATTCTGAATATTTCATTAACAACTCATCTGGAGTTTGGTCATCAAATGTCAGCAATGATCAGTGGAACTTTAGCAATAGGAGTCACCCAGAAATTCAACACGACGATCACTCACATAGTTTAGAAGTGATTCTAGCTCACAAACTACATTATTGCAGCATTTCTATCCTTGCCATATTGGTTGTGGAGGTATCGATAGTTCAATCCCAAGTTTATGATTTAGATTTATGTTACAGTTCTATCAATCCATGATTTTTAAAAATCAGCTCTAGACTACTATGTGTAGTATTACATACCAAATACAGGAAAACATTGAAATAAATATTCTAATTTATTTCAGAATATTTTAAAAGTAATATGTGGTGGAAAAGAACATTTTGAAAAGAAGTTAGAGGTAATGACAATTAAGTTATGATGTCATTTTGCTTGATTTGATGGATAATATGTCAGGATAAACAAAGTACAGAATTAAGTTACTCACGATGCATTTGGAAGCTTAAAAGGATATCCATGTACATCATACAGCAGAATAATTTTACATCAATTAATGGATTAAAAAAAGAAATGCTGTTGTTATCCTTAATCACAAACTTACAATAATGAGTTGGTTGTTTGTTGCAAATACCATTATGTTGTCCGTTTTCAAAATGCAGCTATATTTCATGTTCCTGAAATGAACATGCAGATAAGGTAACAATAATCTATTTCAAGGTCTTCGATGGTTTTATCGTGGTGGCGTCTTTTGTGGTGGATCTAGTTTTTATAAGAGGACTAAGTGCCTACAAAATTCAGAAATTCGTGGTTATTTTGGCATTTCTTGTGCCATGGAGAGTCATTCGAGTGGTCAACAGTAAGTATAATATTGATTGGTTATCTGTTATTTTAAAAATGGAAGAAAAAATTTAGAGTTATACACTAAATCAGCCGATTTTGTGGCCGTGGAGTTTTCATCTTTAAAAGGACATTCTTACTTTCTAACTAAACATGTAATCTATCAGCGAAAAAATAAGCATCTTAAAAATTGATAAAGTGTCAAAAAAGCTCCACCCTAGTTCCAGATCCCCTATCCCTGGGAGCATAAATTTCGAAATTATAGTAAAAAGCACAGTGTTAATTAATTAATTTTTCGCTGTACAAGCTAGATTACATGTTTAGTAAGAAAGAAGGAATGTCCTTTTAAAGATGAAAACTCTATGGCCACAAAATCGGTTGATTTACTTTCTTAAATATATTAAAGATAATTTTTTGTGGTATAGTTTTGATTTACCCAAAGAACAATTTTAAATAATGGAGCAGATCCAAAAACAAACCATGAAGACAAAATGTATTACGAAATAGTGTGCTTTCTGCATTATTTATAAGATAGTGAAAGTGTATAAGTTTTTATCTGGATGTGGAAGAGAAATGTTCTCAACTTTTCCCCAATGTTTTATTTAGTAATTGTACATGTATGTAAATATTTTTTATGAATACATATTTATAACAAATTGATTCAAACCTGTAATAGTTTTAATTTACCCAAAGAACAATTTTTAAAAATGGAGCAGATCGAAAAATACATCATGAAGACAAAATGTATGATGAGAATGTATTTTTTCTGGATTATTTGAAAGTGCAAGTGTTACAGTTCATATCTGGATCTGATTGAGAAAGGTTCTCAACTTTTCGCAAAAGTTTTATTGTGTAATTGTACTTTTGATTATAGTTCAAGTATGATAAAATGACTTTCCATAGAAACATTATCATAAATTTCAACTCATCAAGATATTTACAACCCCTATATGTATGTAAATATTTTTATGAATACATATTAAGGAAGTAATTCAAACGACCACTCCTGACAACCATTTGACGAATAGTTAAGCGACAGAATGACCAAGCATGTACGAGTACAACCTGAAACGTTACCCTGCATGGTTTCATTAAAAAAATTATCTTGGTCCTCGTGTGTAGCTTCTGTTTTCAAACTGCGAATTTTTTTTCCAATTTCCCAGTGACATCTGAAAGTTTAATTTCTCAAAATAATACAAATAAAGCACAGTAAGGAAATAATGATAATAAAACATTAATGTTTTAAGTTTTTTTTAAAATTAGAAATATATAGATCATATTAATATAAATTTAGAATTTGAATTTTTCATTTGGTTTCTGTTAAACAGTCACGATCTGCATAAATATATTTTCAAAAGCATAACTAATGTATACTGGTGTCTCATTATATCGCGGTACTTAAAACTTTTGCATAAAAAGTGTAATTCATTTTTTTTTTTGCTTTAACTTTCTTCAAATGATATTCATAAACCAAACTATGGCGTAAGCTTTTAATGTCAAATTATGTTCCAATCTTGCATCGTTTAATTTGTAGTTTATTTTTAAACAGGAAGTCTTATTTACCTACTGAATTGGAGAGTCTCCTAGTATCGCGGTATGGAAAAACATGGAAACTTATGGTTGACATAGACTTCAATTCTTATTTTTAAATTTACGATGTAATTCTACACAAAAAATAAACAATAGTACAAACTAAAATCTTTCAAAACATGAACTTTATTATGGATTTTACTAGACTAAAAATTGAGTGGTCTAAATATAATAAAAACGAAAACGGAAATCTGTAAAATTACTTATTATTTCAACAAAAAAAAAAAATTCGAGGCATCTTCCATGCATTTTAATCATCACAAAGAATTACATTTAGACAACAGAGAGAAAGTTTTTTCAACAAAAAGAATATGAGCTATGTATCTGATTTTTTGGAATATACCGCGATACAATGAAACCCGCGATATAATGAGAATCGAGTATAAATTAATGTATTACATGTGGATAATACAGTAGACCATTGTTTGTGAACTCATTGCTTATCATTGATCTATAGAAATACTGAACAGTTTTTGATCATTACATATATTATTGATCTTTGCAACTATTGAACTATTGAACAGTTATTGATCATTACATATATTATTGATCTTTGCATCTATTGAATTATTGAACAGTTATTGATCATTACATATATTATTGATCTTTGCAACTATTGAACTATTGAACAGTTATTGATCATTTTAAATATTCATTGTATGATTATGCATTTCTCAATTTATCTAAAAGTAAAGCCATGACAAAAAACTGCCAAACCATAGTCGCTTTATTCTATCGAAATAATACAAAGTACTCAATTGAGCTTAGATTCAAATGCGAATCTTTATAAAATGGGTTAATTTAGTTATTACGAACTGTAAAGGAAGGATAACTGTAACTGAGAAATATGTACGAATCTTTTCTGACCATTTACTTGTATACATTTGATGGCAGACAGATGAAGATTCTTTTATAAAACAAAAACGACTGGAGGTGATAGTGCCCTGAATGAACAATAAATAAATGATGCAATTTCTGAAGGCAATCAATCATATTAACCCTATTCTTTATCCTTACTTAGGTTTGGTGGTAGCAGTTATTGATCACGAGCACTTCAGGATGAAGCTTTTATATAAGCAGAAAAAACAAGTAGCCAGTGATCTTAAAACGTCTAAAGCAGACAATAAGGCACTTCAGGTACGGGTATTTTATTTTAATTTTATTATCGCGATGAAGTGAGATTCTTCTTGAAAAATGAAAAAAAAAATCTTTATTCACCCTCACTTTAAAGATATAAGAAAAAAGAAAACACTTCCATAAAACGCATTCACACAAGAGCAAGATTTTACACGTCTATGAACCCTTGTATACAAATGTGATTTATTTTGTAGGAATATTTTATAATTCTTAATAGAAATTCATACCAGTTACTTATACATGTTGGATCTAAATTTTACGTTAAACTTGGATGAGTCGGTGCCAACAATACGGGTAGTCAAGCTTCTAAGGTTATGCTAGGTTCGTGTACATATACAATGATCACCAATGTCTTGAGAAAATATTTTGTTTTTTTATAGGCCTGCATTGACTCATTACGCAGTAGAGCTGTCTCTGCAGGTATTCCAGAAGGAGAACTAGATGAAATAATAGGTAAATAATTAGATATAAAGACAGGATTAATACTGCAGAATGTAATACAAACACGTTATATGTATTCCCTTGTCATTAAATGGCCGGTTCATTTCAGGTTAATTATTCAGTATTTCAGTTATTCCGCTCATTATTATTTATTTACAATCTGATGTAAGACTACAGTTCTTGCAATGTATCTTATTCCATGTCATGTACATGTATACGCATTAAGGGAGACTACAAGATTTTGAATAAAGAATAATTAAGTCATAAAAATAAAACGGTGATTTTTTGCATCACTTTCTTTTGGAATTAAAGAGACAAATGATGAAAATTAAGAAGGTTTATAGCCTTTTCTTTATTTCATGTAATGAGCATTCATGAGGTAGAATTGAACAAATGCTAGTCACAAAATGAGCAAAATTTGTTTTAGTCAAATTTCCCTTAGATGAGCAATTCAACTTTTGCATCAACTTTAAGTACATATAGAAATCTTATGAAATATGAATCTTCTGTGTATGCTGGTATTGTAATATTTTTTTTATCTTTTTCTGTAGCTTCCAGCCTTACTCCTGTCAAGAAGAAAAAGAAAATATCAACGTCTATGTTTCCTGCCTCCTTCAGTCTCGGTTCTCTTGGTTTCACTCGGCAAAACAGCACAAAAAACTCTAACACGAATGCAGAGGTCATTTATGTTGATGTTGATAATAACACTTGTTTCCATGACAATAATGACAACAAATAATTGCAAGGGAATATGTGATTTTAGGCAGCAGAATAGCATTTTTACCTGGATCGAATAGCCAAAAGGCTAGGGGATATAAAAATGCTATTGTTTATTCAAATGATGCATTTAAAAAGACATTTATATCTATATGCACTTTTCAAAAACAGGTAAAAATGCTATTGTTTATATCATATTGCATATATTTGATTTTTGAAAACTTCCTGAAATGCATATTATAGTGTCAAAGCAGTTATTCAAAAAGACATTTATATCTATATGCACTTTTCAAAAACAGGTTTGGGAATCACGCTTGTCATATTTAGTTCAGATCAAGATATTCTACGTATTCGGATTAATTTTAGATGAATTCCTGTTTTCAGTAGGAATTATTTCATTTGTGAAATCAATTTTAAATAGACTGTTAAGACACAGATTATCTGCTCAGAGCAGAGGTAATGCAGAAATGGGTGCAGGTGCCTTGAACATAAGCATTTATATACTCAGAGAACAAGAAATTCATACTTTCAATTTAATGTCACATAAAGGTTCAGCACTTTGTATTGATACGTCACTTTTCGAAGAATTTCTGCACAAAAGAAAACAAAAGCTTATTTACATATCCCATATTTTCTAACATGAATTTTAAGGAGAACAAAAAAGTTTTTTTTTCTGAATGTTCATGTTTTAAATTGGAATTCCATCATAAATACGAATCTAGATGTTAGGCAAACACTGTAAATTGCCATTTTCTTATCTGCATAAAATATTTTTCAACGAGATCCCCCCCCTTCTGTGCAATGTTTTACTCCTGTTCAAAATGCATTGTGATTTCTCCGCCAAAAATCTGGATATCGTACAACTTAAAACTGGGAGGACTTGTATTGAAATTCCATCCATTTGCAAGTAAAATCCATTGAGATTAAAAATTTCCGATCGAGATGTTTCCTGACCAGTTTACCATTGCTTGTCTATTTATTCTTTTGAAGGTGTTGGTTTGTATAATACTTTTTACTGTAGAACTTGGAAACGTAAACGTGATATGCTGTGTATAACACAATCAAATACGTTTCCTGACAATCAAACTTTACATGTCAATTATTCAGATCTACAAGGTAATTAAAAACATGTTTGTTTATAACATTATGTTAATGTTATATGGAGCTGAAGTCTTTTACATGAATCAAATTTCATTAATTTAAATTCAGTTGTTCATTGAATGATGCTGAAAATATGTGCTTAAAATGTTTTTCTTTCTGAGGGATTAGAAACGAAACTTTTTGACATCGACAGAGCTTAAGGAGAAAGAGTTGCAAACATTAATGGAAATGGAATTAGATATATGTATTGAAAACAAAATAAAAGATATCCTGTTGAAAGTACTGTTAATTCTTTATTCTTACCCCTGAAGAACACGATAAATTACAAGAATTAAAGTTTCATCAGAGGATTCATCGATAAAGAGTTGACATCTTATATTATTTTTCTAAATAAATAAAGCATAGAGGAATAAAAACAAAACATGATCTAATAATGTAGATTTCTTTAACTGTTCTGATTCATTTTATCGTAAACCTAACACAATATAAATCAATAATTTATTTTTAAAATATTTCTGTTATATCTCGGTTTACCGTTGACCTTTTATGAACAAAAATAAGCAAATATTAATTGATTAAGGTTACCTATTGAACTCATAACAAAAGACCCTGCAGATTCATTCATTTCTGTTTCATATTTACATGAGGAGAGAATTAATGGGAAATAACAATGATTGCGATGACTTCAACATTTCTATCTTATTTGTGCTTTGATCAAATTAATGAAGATGGTATTTTTGTCTCAAAATTAATTTGATACACAAGAGCTGTTCTACTTGCAATTAAATTCAATTAAATTCTAATAAAAACAAATTAGGTTTTTGGTAAAATAAGTTTGTGTTTTAAGGATATCAGTGATTTAAAAAAAATGGTATGGTCTATGCATTGTTATCGTTTGAATATACAACTTGCTGTTAAATCGATCTTTTATGTTTAACAAAAAATGATGCCATTATTTTTACACTGAATTTTCTACATATCTTTCCCGTTTATCTGATCATGACAGGGGGAACACAGCAGGCGACACATGTCGACAGAGGATTCGTACTTCTCTATGGCTTCTGTGTGTTTCTCTGATTTCAAATTAAAGGCCTGTGTGGGTAATGCTCAAACTTTTCATTATTTAAGTGGACTTTCGAGCATACGAATTGTTCATTATCTATATATTACATTGTTTTGCATTACTTAAAACTTCGAAATTTCTTTTTTTTGTGTTTGGAAATCTTCAAACACTTTTAAAACATTGCAAAAGAATGTCCAAATCTCAGTCCATCTGCATGATTACATTTGGTTATGAACATCCTCAGAATGACACAAGAGTTGTCGTGTTTTGTTCACTCCGTATATACACATTCTGATAAATTACCGTAATTTATTTCACCTGCAAGAAAAATAAAGTATTTAAACTGTCATTTCTAATTAAATGGCGAAAAGAATAATAAACTACTTTCCACAAACAACTTTCAATTGTTATTTCATCATTAGAGCTATATCTTATGAATATAAATATAATTTTTATAAACACCAAATCATTGACTGGGTGTTGTTGGTTGTTGAATAAAATACATGAAATATTTAAGCTCAGATGTCCATGAAACAATACAAATTATGAGTAGGGCAAACACAGACCTCTAAAACATCAGTACTGGGATCAAGTGCCATGGTGGAGTGGGAATCCCCAGTCGACAGGTCATACCCGGCGCGAATTCATTATCATAATCAGGATATAATATGAAAATCCGTAGATAATTCAATGTGTAAATACTCTTACAATAAGTATGAAAAATCTATATATGCATTTGACTTAATGATAGATGGTATTTGTTGACAAGTTCATTGTTTCGACCATAGAACTTATTGCAAAATGATGACTTTAAACAAAATTAAATCTTATCCCTGTAAATTTCTTGTTTTTGAGGAAATAAATATTGTATTTATGCCTTCCATATGATAATAGTGCAAATTTAAAACCAAGTTTCCCGCAGCTCTGTTATTTTTCAGATTGAATGAAAACCAAGAATGAGAATTGCTGTAAATATGTCATTTATTAATGACACAAATGAAACACATGAAATTTGGGAGATCCTATGACTTTCTACAATTTGTATCTACACCTTGTTATGGATCTCCCAAAACTTAAAATAACATCATGACAATACTCAAAAAACACAACCTACATGAACATGACCGACATAATCTGACCCATTTACAGCTTATCTTAGGACAACGGGTCAACCTACATGAACCTGACAGGCATAATCTGACCCATTTATAGTTAATTAAGGGACAGCCTCCATGAAGATGACAAAATTAATTTGACTAAGACAAAATTGATTGCAGGACGACCTTTATAAGCAGATGTTTTGTGTTGTACTGTTATCATTAGGAGAGGGTGGTAGACCATACCTTATCAATTCAATCAATCGTGAAAAAAAAACCAAACTACGGGAGAGAAAGAGTAAAGGATCCTGTCTTTATATATCTCTTGACTGCATCAGATTTCCATCTACTCATACGTTGAATTGCATTTTTAGGAGAACCCAACCTAGCTGCATGAGTTGCTGCCCCAATACAAAAAGCATAACCTTTGTAAATTTTTTATTCAAACCCATGGATGTAATACTTGCATCTAAATGTTTTGAAACAAATGACTGTGAAACCTGAGTGCCATCAATAAATTGAAAAAGGGGTCCCCTTTGAATGTTTAAATTGGCACATATACTCAATAATGGCAAACACAGGACAGAGTTCTTTTTCAGGCTGGGCCTCTAGGTAGATGGTAACTGACTGACCAGATTGCTAGTTTTTGTGTGTGACATAAAATTAAACTTACAATTTTCAATTTTCCTTTATCAGTTTTAAAATGTATGTTTGACTTTAAAAACACTTGATTCATAGATTGCAGTTTCCTAACAAATAATTCTCCCAATCTAAATTTTTTTTTTAAATGCTGTAAGAAACAATGCTCTTAAAAGAATTCGATTATTCCAAATAGAGCTTGGAAGACGTATACCTTCTATAACTTTTGTAGGAATTTCCCTCGTTATTTGGAGTCTTGAGGCTGTTCCTTGGCATAATTTTTGACACCTTTTTAACAATTTCTGAACAAAACAAAAAAAAAATTCTGAGATGGGTCTGGCAAATTCAAAATTTTATGAAAAATTAAATGGCCGAAACATGTGATGCCAATGTGCTTGCTGAATACTGTTTGAGAGAGTCTGTCAGCGAGTACATCAGATTTTATTGAAACATGTTAGCTCTAAAGTGAATATTGCACTGCATTGCCACTAGTACAAGCCGACATAATAATTTCATGAGGTTATTTCCTCCAGATGACTGTTTATTTATGACCTCTACAACTGCTTTATTGTCAAATAAGAAAAGTATTTTTAGTTTTGAAGCTTGTGCCCACATAATTCTAAATGCAATAACAACTGGAAAAAGTTCTTTGATGCATATTTGACATTGTATAAGGGCATCAGGCCATCCATCCACAAACCATTTTGAACCCAAAACTACAGCAAAACTGTGTGACCCTGAGGAATCAGTTTGCAGATTTAGATGTTCTGAGGACATCCATTCTTTATTTAGGAAGACAGATTTTCCATGAAAATGATTTATGGTATATGACCAGGAAATATGACCAGGTAGCTAAATCAGCTCTCGCTTCCCCTCTATCTTAGCATATCGTTTAGAATCATCAAACCAAATGTGAGATTGATTAAACGCCTTAAGAAGGCCCTACCAGGTACTACTAGCTACCCCACATGTGAAGTCAAGAAGACTTATGTGCTGACTGCAATTCTTTCAATGAGAGCTTTTTGCACTTCTGAAAATTTTTTCATATGGATGTCTGTATTCCATTATCCCAGTATCTACTTCTATCCAATAGATAATTATTTTAGTTGTAGGTGTCTGCGTTTATTGCATCTTAAAAGGAACCCCAATTTGCCTACATACGAATAGAAACTGGCTAGAACATACCTACACTTTGATGGATTTGGTGGGCCCACAAAGAAAAAATCGTCCAGGATATGAGAGACCCCTGCTGCTTTAAAAATATTTCCGTTGTCCACTGTAGTGCACAACTTAATGTTTCAAAATTTGACAACTGCTACTTGCTCCCATTGGTTAACATATCATAATATTAAAAATGATTTTTTTTAATGAAAACCTAATAGATGGTGATCTAGAGGGTGAATTGGAACTATTCTATAGGCCTCTTTGATGTCAGACTTTGCTATTAAAATATCTTGACCAAAATTTTTTAACCAAACCTCAAACATTAACAATCCAATCACAGTGTACAGCAGAGAGCTCTTTTGGAGTGTTGGCATTCACGGACTGGTCTTTTGGAAAAGACAGGTCATGAATTATTCCGAAATTACCTGAATTACCTTTTGACAAAAAACTCAGGGCCACAGTAGGGGTGATAGCATACAATAAAGTGATCTAATGGGGGTGCAAGTAATGGTCCAGCAATTCTACCTTTTGCAGACCTGTTTCCTGTATGATCATTGATAATATTTGGGTGCTCCCTTGCTGATTTATGATTACTTACTATATCGGATATGATGGGGTTTGCAACACAACCCAGGCGAAAATCCTATTTAAACATGTTAAAACCCTGCACTAAATAATTTGAAAGAGATCTATCATAATGAACTAGAAATTCACTTAATTTGTTTGGGTTGACTGGTGTTGGAAGTCGAAGACCCCCCAGTGGTTGTTGACGCTTTGGTTGTTAAATGAATTTTATGCATTTTGCTCATAAAAAAACAATATTTTAACAAATTTTGGGCTTCACTTGGGAATTTTTCAAATAGATTGTTGTGAATATCAAAATCAAAGATGCATCTGTCCACTGATTAATGGACAGAGACGCCCTCGGCTTTGTTGCATTTAACTGTATTGTAACTTATCCAGCAGCAATATTAAAAAGATACTGGATCCTCTTGCTGCTGCAGCAGCACACGCAAATCTAAATACTGATCTTCCCAGATTTTTTGCTTTATGCGTTGTGCTACTGTTGCATCGAGCGGAATCCCATCAATGTTGATATGCTATGTGCCATTTTTGGGGTTGCTGGCTCACCTGAACTTAATAACTGATTGAGTAATTCTGATATATTGCTTGTAGCATCTCAAAAAGGTTCCGCCACTACCTTGTTACTTAAGAATTTTGTCTGCTTGTTTCCATTACCAATCTGCGCGGATGGATGCTCCACCAGTTTTTACACTTCACTCTGATTTTTTAGACTCTTTCCTCTACTCCAGGTTTCGTCTGTGGCTGGTCGTCTCTTTGGCATGATTAAAGCTGAAAGAATTCTATCTAGAATATAATTCATGACTATATATTTTAAGCAAACTACTTCATGTATTTTCTGCTGTTATGTTGAAAGGTATCACCAACATTTTAGGTAATGACCTTTCATAATTGCATACTTTGATAATAAAATGATGAAGATTTCAACAACAGTGGCTTCATAACTGTTACATTTTACTGATAAATCAAGGCATGGTTTGTTTTTTTTTATAAAGACTTGCTTTTGATCTTGTATTGAATAGATAACAGTTTAGTTATACCTTGAGACAGCCACATGAATTACCCAGTACTCACTGAGAACCAACTTTGATACAGCAACATGGAAAACTTTGACATCATGTATACTGCTAGTTCACATAGCGAACCAATAACTTTGAGACAGTAACATGGAAAACTTTGACGTCATGTATACTGCTAGTTCACATAGCGAACCAATAACTTTGAGACAGTAACATGGAAAACTTTGACATCATGTATACTGCTAGTTCACATTGCAAACCAAAAACTTTGATACAGCAACATGGAAAACTTTGACATCATGTATACTGCTAGTTCACATAGCGAACCAATAACTTTGAGACAGTAACATGGAAAACTTTGACGTCATGTATACTGCTAGTTCACATAGCGAACCAATAACTTTGAGACAGTAACATGGAAAACTTTGACATCATGTATACTGCTAGTTCACATTGCAAACCAAAAACTTTGATACAGCAACATGGAAAACTTTGACATCATGTATGCTGCCAGTTTACATTGCGAACCAATGACTTTAATACAGCAATTAACATGGAAAACTTTGACATATGTATACTGTAAGTTTACCCTGCGAACAATAACTTTGAGACATTAGCATGGAAAATTTGACATCATGTTCTGCAGGTTTTCATGGAGTAATATATATTTAAAAGAAGTATATAATTTTTTTTTTTACTTGAATGTTTAGAACAGAAATCTTTCTGAATATCTTACTAGATATTTGACTCTTGTCCTATACATATGCATCTATTAATTTCCATGATTTATGCTCATATATCATGTATATCATTATATCAAACTTCAAATTAATTTATACTGGCCTTTGCCTCCTGCAAGTGTTGACCACTGCATCTTTGATATACTATTGAGGTTTTGACCATAGGTACTGGATCGGTACTGCATGATTTTGTAGATAGGTGAACTCCATCAGGTAATGTAGGTTAGTCTAAGGGTACAAGTCAAAACGGCACCTGGTGAAAACGGCACTTAGGAAATATGCAAAACGGCACTTGAGAGTAGTCAAAACGGCACTTTAGAAAAGTCAAAACGGCACTTCTTTTATTTTGAGAATTTGATATTGTTTATACAGAAATTGGATCTTTATATTACATATATAGTAATAAATGTGTATATTATTATTGATAAAAATGTTTTAAAAATATTTTAGGAGAAAAATTAAACTGATTCATTTGAAAATTATTGTACTTTTGTACAGTGGTTAGATTTTTTAAATGTATTTCTATTTTAAATTATATATCTAATATTATTTTCTACAAAAGAGATCAAATCCCAGTTATACTATATGATCCTTTGAAATTTAAAAATTTATAGTGTTTCAAATATGTATACTACTCTGTTTTGGGGGTTGCCAGTCACAGTTGACTAATTAGAAGCCAGTTAGAGTATGTTTATTTAGAATACACTTGTAGGAATAGGAAACAAAAGACCATTTCACACCTCCCCTTCAATAATCTGCTGATCATCAATTTGCAATCATATACAGCTACTATTGTGTATTTCTAGACAAAATGTCAAAAGGATTGTAAACAAGTTAGAAAAACTTAGATATTCCTCTCCCACCTGTACATAAAATATGAATAGCCATACAGCATTTAACAATATAATAACAATGTGCTTAAAAGAACAAAACATTTGTTTTTTTATAATGAAGATGATACAATGTTGATATTGTTAAAATAATTTCTACAGAATTAGATAGAAATGTGAGATAAAGTGACTCTCACTGTAAATATTTAAAAAAAAAATCATTTACACCATTTCTTTTTTTATAGTATCAACACTACACTACAAATATAATTATTCTTAATCCCACATATTGTTGCGTTATAGCTTATAAATACTAACTTTAAAAAAAGATTGAAAATAAAGCAAAATTGAAGCAAAAAAAAATTCTAAAGTCAATAAATTAAATTTTGAATTAAAAAAGAATTTATCATGTTTATGTCAAATATATATCTTAACACAATTATATATTTTTTCCTCTAAGTGCCGTTTTAACCAAGTGCCGTTTTGCATATTCCAGGTGCCGTTTTCACCAGGTGCCATTTTCACTAGGTACCGTTCTAACCATAATTCTCCCAAAACACCGGTGTTTCCAAAATGACATATGGTAAGGATTCAGACACAGAGTTTGGAAGCTGATTAATCTCAATAACAACTTTTTTGCATCCCGGTGGCAAGTTGTGAGGATCCCGTCGGAGAAGTTGCATAACAATTACATGTTTCACACTCGTACCATGAATCAGGAAGTTCGTAAAAGAAATGATATACCTTACAATCTTTGGGGGGGGGGGGGGGTCGAAGGAAAGTTCGTTACCACCGATTTGAAAAAGGCAAATGTCAGGGGCTGTGGAGAAAGTACATAGTGTTCACGATGTCGCCAAACCCTTAACGGTTAACCCACCTTGGCCACGGATCAACAATGAGAATCTATTTCGGTCAAAACAAAGATTTTTGTATCACATATTGTCTTTCATATACTTGTCCATCCTTCTAATGTACGAATGGCCGATTAGCGCAACCCTCGTCATGTCCGCCATTTTGAAACACCCTGCATGTACCCAGGCTCCGATGGAGTCGAAAAACAGTCACAAAGCGAATCCGAAATATCACCACTTACATACATGTATGATATCAACTGTGCATAAAGTCCTATGCACTGCTAATCCACTGATTCTTAAGCATTGATCAAGATGAATAATCCGAAATCGTTATGTTTTTCTTACAAAAAAATGGTGTGTACAAACACTTGCAGCATCCACCAGCGATAACAATCACGTGATATCTCTGACGTTAGCTAACGACTAATCAACGCAAAGCCCCAAAACCTGAGACTATGCATTACATAACGTCCTATCTCTGAAACCTGAGATATACATAAAATATACTACAATCACTACATTCTAACCACAGAAATGGAAAATTACATATGTATGCATAAAACATATTATTATCAATAATATTACATGATATATCATTAGTATAAGCAACGAAGTATTAAATGCATCGCTGTATTATATTTACAAACCATCGTAATAAGAGAACGTTATCCAGAAGTTGCTTTTGAGACCAAGAGACGCCTGTTTATAACCATAAATTAAATTATTATATCGGTTAAAATAACCATCAATCAGATGCATGTGGATCGATTAAATTTAACAGAAAAAAATATTTTCGTTTTGAAATGAATGTGATTTACTTCCGAGATATACAGAATGAATGAAATTATGAAAACTGAAAACTATTGACGCCCAAAACGCATTTCAAAAATTGTTTCCTGACTCCAACAGAAATACCTTTGCAACGCTTTTCAGTTTTAATATCTCGTGATGAATTATTCACATGACTATCATAAGCTTGGTAGAGAAACAAATTACTGCCTACGAATGTCTAAAATTATGACACATGTAGCGTAAGTATGTTTCAGAATAGGAAATTAACATTGCAGTGAAGAGTTGCTAACGAAGAGTCAGATTGTGTTGACAAGCAGGACACGACAGTGAATAAAATCTAGAGAGAACTGGGTAAGTTAACTTTCTAAATAAGCTATTGAATTTATCTTTAAAAATATAATTATTTCATTGTTTATTTGCCAAAAAAAGTTATATTTTTACGAGTTTTACCCTTACAAAAAGTTATTTATTAATTAAACCTAAATAAAAATATTCAAAAGCAGGTATGTATATTATGTAAAATTATTGCAATTTTAAAAATTAATCATGTAAGTACATCTGAGTCCACATTAAAAGGAACTTTGAAATTCTTAAAATGTGATTGATTTAATCATAACATTATAATAAAAAAAACATAACAGATTGAAATGACAAAATTCAATGCATGTCACCAGATTAGATATAATTTTGAAAAAATATCGAATGTCTCTATATAAAGTGACATAATACTGCTTGACATTTATTGTGCTAATTTGTACATTTATTTGTTATTTCTGTAATGTACGTAATATACATAAACATTGATATATTGGCGAGGTCTGCTTATTGAATTATCAATTTAAGGCTTTGTAAGTTAAAAGAAATTTTTGAAGGTTATTGAAGCACAAACACTTGTTTCCAAATCTTTTTTACGTAGTATACTAAAAAAAATTGCTTAATTTTTATTCATAAAAAGATGAGGTTGTCAGTAACACAGGAGGGCAGGATGACATTTTGTGATTGTAAGTTGGAGACATCAACACGAGGCCATCTTTTTGGGAGTATAATGATTGAAATGTGTCACATCTTTGACAGTTTTATGTACCAAAAAAGCCATTTATGATAAAAGAAACGTTTCCTCTATTATAGTATAAAATGCGTGTTTACTTTATTTCTCCTCTTCGGTTGTTGCCTTTATGTGGGTCGGTGTTTTCATTTTCAACACAAATGTCCTTCAGAGAACTTGTATGATGCCATGGGATGTACTTCATTTCAGTATTCTATTGTTAATATAGTAATGTCATGTGATCGAAGTGGATATCGAACATTCGGATAAGATCAAGCTTCCGTCTCGAAGAAGTTACTGGCAAGAAAAAGATCCCTCATTGCCCAGTTACCCTCAGTGCCGAGTATACATGTAGGTCTAAATATGCAGCCCTCAGTCTGAAATTTTTTTCCTCACTCTTCTTTCAAAACTTTTAAAATGAGTGAAAAAAAATTTGGAGAGGAATGTAAAAAAACCCCCAAAAAATGAAAAAATTGTTGCCTAACTTTGAATTATTCAATTTTGTTTGTATCCTAGCCTCTGATTGGTAATATCCAAAAAGGAACGCAAATTATTTCTGTATAACCTCGTTTAGTATTGGCCCCCCCCCCCTCCTGACAACTAGCTGAGTCATCTGTAACCATGAAATCCTCTCATTTCCAATCATCGGAATTCTTGGAAAATTCTAGATTCAATTAATGTACATTTTACTTCAAACAGTAACTCGATCTTACCACACGTAAACAAACAACATGGCTGCTTGGCCTATGAATCAGTTTTTACTTCCCCTCGCTTCCCATCACTTCAATTACTATGGTTGTATTATAGAGCGGCAAATTTGAACTAATAAAAAGCAACGAAATTTTACACACACAGTTGATTAATAATGATTTTAAAATTAAATCATAAGGAATGACTCTAATTCTTGGCCAAATGATTCGAGTATAACCTGGTTTGGGTCAGTTTACGCTTTCTTATTATCCGCCATGCGGATTAGAAAGCGTAAACTGATCCAAACCAGGTTCGAGAATTATGGTAGACTGACCCAAACCAGGTTATACTCGAATAATTTGGACAAAAATTAGAGTCATTCCCAAAATAATCTTCAAATACATTTATGGTATGTCGTGTGTAATTTTAAAAATAAGTAAAAACCCTTTTTTGTAAATTTTGACCAGGGCTTCAAATTCAATTTATTTTGTAAATTTTGACCAGGTCTTTCTACTCTTAGTACATGTACATTTTCGACAAGTTTATCGTAAATCATGACAAAGAAAGGTCATAATAGGGTAAGACCCGTTTTTGGTGCCTGACTTTGGGAGTCTTTCAGAATGATACAACAGTTTATCCAAAGAAACATGTTGTCATGCCTGCCACAAAATGAGTCTAGGTTTTGAAATACGCAGAGGTCACAGAGAGGTCAGAAAATAGATCAATTTTCGAATTTTCTCATTTTTATGCAATTTTTCATTGACTTTACAGCACATTTCGCTTCGGAAAACATAGAGCACAAGCTTGCCTATCTATAGCTACCAAATTTATGTAATTTATCAACTAGTATCAGATGCAGTTTATATGTAAAAATCTCAGAAAGGCAAGCTTGTGTTCTATATTTTCCGAAGATTAAAGTATTTCAAATATAATGAAATTCTACCAGAATTGCGCTACTTCTGCACTCCCTAGTGGCTTCCATGTAAGCTTTGAATCCAAATTCGCACTGGTTTTAAAGCAAGCATCATTTTAAGCTCTTTTATCCTGCAACTACCCCTAGCATTGACCTAATAAAGGTAACCTAATAAACCATAGCTTTATCCGGTCACTGCCCTAATAAAGCCTCTTTGTATTCCATGCATTGTGAAATATATTGCTGTTGATGGCGTCATAGTTTCATCTGCAGAGATGTGTCTAAATATGTCAAAAACAGCTAGTTTTGGACGTTTAAATGTAAGAAAATTTTTAATATGTTGCAGGATAAACAAAATACATGATAACTGTCTTGAATTATAAGCGATATTTGGGCATTTTAAGCTCTTAATATACAAACTGTATTTTATATGAATACAAACAATCAAAATTTTACCAATGTTCTGATTTTTACGTCATAAGAGGCCAGCTTTGACCGTTATCCTACCTTGTCCTTTGCCATATAAGTATAAATGAACGGAATTTTCTTATTTGCAATAAATAAATGAAAACCAATCCTTGTTTGAACAGAGACGATATACGAATCCTTCTGTTCCCATATATTTCAGGCATCATTGTCAAAACCTTGTGTTAAACTTACCTTTCAATTTTGTTTTAGAAAGGGCTTTAAATTATTATTAAATGTATGATGTATTGACGAAGTATTGAGATTTATTTAAAAATGGAAGGTTGGTTATCCGGACGCTTGTTTTATCGATGAAGCAAATAAGCTCAGAAGTCAATTTTAACACAACAAGAGCAAACACGAACTTCTAGACATCAGAAGTGGAATAAGGTGTCACGTAGGAGTGTGCATTCCCTGTCAACCGACCACACCGCCGTGTATTTCTTGTCAATTTCGGACAGACTGGAAAATCCGTAAACGATTCAAGTGTGTAACTAAATGGCTAAGCAATCCGTATAAAATTATATTTCCGGATGAATAAATCGTCCGGATTAATGTAACATAATTAAGCGTCCGGATTAACATTTAATCGGTTCTTCAATAACAACATCGCTCTTTCTTCAGCAGTGGTTGCCAAATTTTCATATAGGTCGCTGCCCACAAGTATACTACATGTATATAGACGAAAGTGCAAATTGGTAAGACCATCGGGTGTGAAACTCAGAAAAAAATTGTTTAAATGGTATGTTAAGACTTCAAGCTTATCTGGTTCTAAGGGGTGTTAAGAAAGTTCGTTCCATGATGAAATATTTTCAAAAATATCAAAGTAGTGCTTAAGTAAAGAGATGAATTTTCAAGTCTGATAAAATTACAGGAGTGTGCTTTGGATTTATAGCAATTCATTCCTAGCAGGAAGATATTGGATTTTTCTTCCATATGGAAATATATATAACATCTTTACAACACCCGAATGATAGAAATGCTGGTTATTTTGAGTGAAAATAAAGGATAATTTACTTTTGTTTCTTCATAGATTATCTTGCATCAGACAAGGTGATGAGCATATGTATAAGAACAATAGATCACGTTCCAAAAAAAAATAGTATGTCATTTTGAAATTTTTAACAGATTTGATAATTTTTGCATAATATTTAAAAAGATGTTTAGACCTTTGCGCTTAATATATGTCACAAATATGCTTCATCCCTAATTTTTCTGAACATACATCATCTGTTTTAATACCTACCCTACCCTTATTGATTCAACAAAAGACAGTTAAAACCTTACCACTAGCAAGAATGGACTCTTTAAACATGAAATATCACAAATTGTAAATATCTTTTCATCGTATTTCTTGTCGAAAATGAAAGAAAAATGGGGAACGAACTTTCTTAACACCCTTTACATAAAACCACCGTTCACGGTAGCTCAGTCGGTACAGCGTTCGCTCCATGATTGGGGGATCGTGAGTTCGAATCTCGGCCGCGACTGACCTAAGTGGATAAAAAAATGTGTAGCAATTGTTCCTTCGCCATACACTCGGCACTTTGAAGTGAAAGTTGCGGGTTCTTTGGATAAGACCTTAAAAACCAGTGAACCATATCACAGCAGGAATTGGCAAGATAAAGATCCCTCACTTCTCAATGGCCCTGAGTGACGAGTAAAGGTCAAAATTTTGAGCCCTTCACCGGTATATGGGATGTCTCTATATGAGTGAAAAATTCTCGCATGGGACTTAAAACAACATACAATTAATCAACCCATATAAAACCTCTCAGTTGATTCGATACGCAAGAGCATGCTCTACGTATGAACAATATCTAAAGCGAGGTAAATTATTGACAAACAAGTTGATGAAACAAGAAATTCAGCAGTTTAGTTTAAAGTCATCATTTCGTAAGTTCTATGGTCTCTACAGTGACCTTATCAGCAAATACAATTTATCATTGAGTTAAATGCTGACTGACTTTTTCATACTATTTGTTAGTCCATTATTTATACACTGAATTGACGACGGATTTTCCCATTTATGACATTGAGCACACTATGGGTGTGAGCGGTCGGCAGGGGATACTCCTCCATGGCACCTGATCCCACCTCCGATGATTTGGAGGTCCTTGTTTGCTCTTCTCCTATTTTGTACTGTTTCATGGACCATTGATTTTGAGTACTGTTCGTTATTTCCATGTATTTCATCTTAAAATTGTTAATGTTTTCCATTTTCTATATTTCAGAAGCTCTGCTGTTGTTATGGAAGATAGCATCTCAGTAGCAGATGAAGACATTATATCTTTCTAACGAAATTAATACTAGGTCAACAAGGATCATATGTAACCAAGGCTTACAAATCGTTGTGGATCTAGCTTTTTAAAGTGTTTAAGACAGGAAAACACGTTTTTTCTTTGGATTGTAAATGAATGAACTGTATAAAAGTAGTGCCTTGGTAAAAGATACTGTAAAATCACATATATTAGTGGAGTCAAATTTTCGAGGTTTAAAGACTTGATTTCGAGATTGGAGAAGGATTACTGAAAATGCATAAGAAATTTTAAATTTCTTGATGGTCATAGATTCAAAAGCAATGAAATTTCAACCCCAAAGAATATTTGTGATTTCACGGTATTTTTGATTCACTTTAGCAGACACATTCTGAATGAAAACAGGTCACAACATGGACGAAAGATTAATGTATAAATAAAAATAGAATTTACTTTATATTCAAATTTGAATGTTGAATAAATTCAATTAACAGTAGACATGCAGAGTGTCAACTGGAAACAAGACACAGTTTTCTTAGTGAGAAATCACCAATTCCTAAAAGCGCCAAAGGCAGATTTCATAAGATACTTAAATGTATAGATAAAAATAAGTCTTCAGTGTACCATTTTTCAAATTTTATTAGAACAATATATATTACGTATTCATTACAATTTTGCATATTTAATATTATCAGTCAATTTCTAACAATTAGCATCAATGTCATATCAGCTCATTAAACTAGTAACACAACAATTTATCTCTTTTGGAATATTGCAAAGAAATATGATGACTTAATTTACTAATCATACAGAGTGTGTAATTTTGAGCACAATAAAACAGCAAAATAGATATTAAATGTTGAACATACTATTATTAAAAATATATTATATTAGCATAATTATATAAGGATGATTTATAAAATGGAGTTCCTTCTGTTGTCACCTGTTCCTTATTCCCTTTTGAAAATAGGAACATGACAAAACAAAGATCAGGCACTGACATGGCTTTTACATGTATCTGTGCAATTGAACAAAATCAATTCATTGGAATCCATATTTGAGTATTTTGAGTATCTACTTTTAAAACTGGAAATTCGCAGGTATATTCTAATTTGCCATTTTTTTTGTAAATGTGTTTAAGTTATTTATTTATTCATGAATCTTTGGTTTTTTGATTAATGAGGGGAATGCTCTTCTTCCCATGCCTGTGAATTATAATTAAGATACATATTTGTCAAAAGAAATAAAATGATAAAGCTACGTGACAAGCATAAAACAGAAAAAATGCACATGCAATTTCACCAGGGCTGGAATAGATTTAAAAGGATTTTTAAAATAATTTTTCCAATACATCTGAATTTCCTCAATTTACAAAAAAATTAGGATTTGATTGATTGTATACTATTTAACATCCCTCTCAAGAGGATTTGAATTAAAATTTTATAAGCTTTGAGGTATTTTGATTTCATAAAAAAAATCAGGTAGTAATTTTTCAACTTTGTGGAAAAAAGCACATATTAATGACGATACTAATATACAAGAGACAATTAATAAAATAATTTTTATTGTATGTAAAACAAGAAGGGAACAATAATATGCATAAATGTGACAAATAAATAAGGTAATCAAACTGAATAAAAAGAAAAAAACAAGATCAACAAGATCAACAAAACAAATGAACTTCAGAAAGCAACAAAAATTGTAATAAATACTAGTTCTATTTAACTACAGTAAATTTGATAAATTAATAAATAAAATCTTACAGATCCACAATGTTTAGTTCTGAAAAAAATCGAATAATGCATTAGTGCTTACTGACAATGTAGATGCAATGTCGCCGGAAACATACATTTCTAAAGACAAGTCGCACATGAAATGTTCTTTTTATCAAATACTTTTAAAGATATGGATACAAGGTTGAAATATCTAAGGGGTCAGAATTTAAAAAAAAATTATTACATGCAAAGTTATGAAATAAATATCAAACTCCGAGAGACAGGTATTGAATATGGAACACATAAAACAATCAATATGTCAAAGAAAGTACATATCAAATTAATGGGACTATGGAGGAAAGTAACGGACCGATGGTACAGTCATAAAGTGCATCGTTCTGAGAGGTCGCCGGAATTGCACATGAAATGTTCTTTTTATCAAATACTTTTAAAGATATAGATACAAAATAAATATCTAAGGGGTGAATTTAAAAAAAAATTATTACATGCCTGAGAGACAGGTAATACATGTGACATCATCTATAACACACTTTTCTTTCATTAGGAGAAAAGGTATCACTGAATACTGACGTCAAGCATCTAGCATCTCCATGATCAGACTTCGCAATTTCTTTCAGAATGTTATGAAAGATGCATCATTTCTGTCCAAGACAACTTTCCCAGTTGAGAAAGAATACAGAAGCATGGGACATAAACTCCGATATCAAAATTCAATCTAATTAAAAGAACAAAAACCAAAGTAATAATAAATACTTTTCCTCATCCTATACTCTTGCTTTTAGAGAAAATTTGGTTAATGAAGGTAACGAATCGTTTTAAATTTGTTCTCACTCTTTCAAGGTTGTTTGTTGATGAGGTAGCACTCCTTGATGCTGCGGCTCTCGGTTCTGATCGAGACTGAGTTTGACTTCTGCTTCTTGAAGCTGTTGTGTCTGGTCTTCGTGCACTCATTACAACGGGAAATGGTGTCGTGACTTCTTGTCGTCGAGAAAGTTTGAAACAAGATTCGCAGCATGTGGACCCGTAATTTTCACAATAAAATTTCTTATTCAGTCTCATCATTAGACCACATCTAGCGTCTTTATCTCCATATGGACACACTGAAACGAAAGAATTAATGATTTATAATGCAAGCTGAATAGATATTTAGGTCAAACTGAAAGCAAGATAGATGAAGGATCCATGCAATAGGTGAGATTTTTGTTAGTTATAAATACTTACACATGAATCCGGTTTCAAACTTGCTACAAGTGGCACAGCAGTTATCTCTCGTTGCTTTTTTGTAGCAATCTGCACCTGTTCGAGCTGTACAGAACTGACTGTCTACACACCCAGCTGCAACAAACACAATCATTCCAATTAAGTAATTACAAAAGTAAAATAAAAAGATAAATATTTACATAAGAAAGATATATATGACAATTATGATGTTAATTTTTCTGGGCGTGAATGATAATAAAATATACAAACTAGAAATAATGTTATACAGTTTCAAATGATTTTGACCCTTTAATGTTTTGTGTATAATAAGCGAGTGTAAAGAATAATAAAGAATTGTTCAACATATTTTTTGACGTTTTTCATTCAAGTAAATGGAATGAGCAGAAATGTTGCTTCATGTATTTCGTTATGTATTGGTATTAAATGTAAGGTGATCGCCAAAAAATTGATTTTCACAACGCTGTGTTGTCTTGTTGTCTTTTGATAGCTTTTTGCTGACAGAAAGGAGCACATTCAAAAGAATATCAAGGCTTCAATCTGACTTATATTTTCTACATGAATATTTCATTTATTGATAATCGTAGATACAAAATAACAGAAGTATACAACAATGATTAAGATATACTCATAAAAGAGGCTTACTTTTAACATTTTTGGATCGATCAATATTACATGTCTGGCAACATGCACTTTTGAATCTTGTCTCTGTACATAACGACAACCATTTGGATAAAAATTCGCAAGGAACGTCAGGTCTATAAAATGCATTCTTCTTCACACAAAATCCAGGTGCAAAAGGATCTGGGATCAAATCCTCTGTTGGAACAATATCTTGAGGTGCTCCTCCGAACCCTTCTTGCTTATTTTGAGATGGTACACCCTCCTGTCTGTTTCCTCCGATCTTCAGACTAAATCTCGTAGATGAGAATGGAATCATATGCGTTGTAGTGGGAAGAATTGAGTGTCTGTTGACGTGTTGAGCGGGTCTGAAATTGACAGTCTGTCTGGTTGGTTCTGGTTGGGTTCTCTCTCTTGTGATATGTCTGGGTGTTGGCCTGAGCTCGGGTCTAGTTGGTATGGGAGATGGTTGAGAATGTACAGTTGTTGATTTCGTGGTTGGATTACCCTTACCACAAGTTCCACAGCAGTTCAATTGATGATCTCGAGTGTGACATAGTCTTTTGTCACAACCTGATTTACGATCTCCATATTCGCATCCTATGAAAATGGACAAATGTTTGATTAGAATCCCTCTCATAAATTTCTTACTTAATTTTATCAAGAGATAAACAGTTTTTCAGTTAATGTACCTTGTATCCCAGTATGTAATCCTGCACATCCAATACAACAAAGCTGGCTATTTTTGTTATCATAGCAGAGATAAGGTCGTGACTTAACTAAAACACATGAGGCTATTTTGTCTCCATATTCACAACCTACAAATAAATGAAACAAATAATTTGAGATGAAAAGCACTCTATTACAGAAAACGTTATTAAAAATAGTTTCATTTTAGATGATATGCGTGACAAGAGTGATACTTACGCTTTTTCCCGGTGAATTTCTTGCTGCATGATTCACAGCAGAATTCTCTGTATTCTTTTGTGTAGCATCTAGAAGGTCTACCATTTATAAGCTCACTGCATGTAGCGTTATTTGGAAACGGCTTCAAAGAATCCCCATGAACACATTTTTCTAAAAAAAATAAAATCAAAGCAAGGAATACAAATATCTGAATAAATGCATGCAACATTATTCATTCAGAGAAATTGTAAATTGTGCTCACCGTCTTTTTTCGGTGCTTTTCTGTCGAACACACATTCTCCATTTATACACCACTAAAAATAAATCCAAAGTATGAAACATATTTTCTTGCATAAACATTTAACTCTTCAAAATTGATTGATTTTTTTAAATTCTGTCATGTAACTCATAAAGTACCTTTTTATTTCCACATGAAGTTCCTCTTGCCGCGTTGTAAAGATGGAAACTCACTTTCTTCTTTGGGTTTTTGCAAGCCATGTTTGTACAAATGTCTTGATATCTTCCAAGACCACCAGCCTATCAAAAAATAATATTGTTTTTATGTAAATTACCATCATACATACTTTTGCATATTAAATACTACAGAATGGGATGCAAAACATACAATCAATCATTCGAACTCTACATTCAAAATGCTTTCAGAAAACATACCCAGCCATAATATGACCCTTGACCAAGTTTTTCTTTGCACTGTTCATTAGGTCCTAAGATTTGTCCAGGCATGTCTTTAATAGCTTCGCGAAAGTTTGGATCAATGTCCATAGGTCTTTCGAGCATACAGTTTTCTCCTTTGTTATTCCTGTAAAGATAATGGAAATAACGTACACATACCTAAATTTTTCTTATAGCGTAATTTTAAATACTAGTATGCATCATTTTTCTCGATTTTCAATTAAAAAAATTTAAATATACATAAATTGCATCTTTAAAATTTCTTTTTTTCTATGGCCATTCGAAATTTCGTGATCAATTTGTCATGAAAATTTATTACCCGCCCATGATTTCGCGGTTTTCTAATTATGCAAGTATATTGAACGTATTGTCGCAGGGCAATTGATAACTTTCTAAGCTGACAGAATGACAAATTATCTTTATATTATGGCGAAGTAAATCTAAATGTAATGTGAATGATGACCTTATCAAAGTTTTGTTATTTAAATATTTCCAAAATTTAGAGCATTTTTTTGTATATATTTAAGCTTTTCATTTATATTGGATGATTGATAAATTTATATTTATATCATAAAAAATCTTCACTAAGGATATAAAATGAACAAATATATCCATATTTAGTGAAGGAAATGAAAATATAAGCAATAAAAAACAGAGGACATAAAAATCTAAATAAAATCTTGCATATTTTTGAATTTCTTATTATAGAAATTGTCCATTGAAACCTACTGAGATCCAAATTTTAAAAAAATAATAAATGTAGTGAAAAGAGATTTATAATTTAAAGATAAATTACACAGAAAGGGCACTTGCTTATCAAATATCAACATATCCTTTTAGTTTTCATTTTGCATCAAACCAGTGGTGTAGTTTTAAAATATAAAGACGTACAGCTCTTGAATATAGTCCCTAAAGTATTCCACGGAGCATTCAGAGAACTTCCAGGGGTTGAGTTTTGTGGCCTGGTTGGTGTCCCCTCCCATGGCTGTCATTATGAATTGATCCTCCGGACGACAATGGTTCTGTTCCCCGTCATGATTAGCACCCAAACTGTCAGAAAACAATAGTCCCATTGTGTGATTACAATATATAAGTAAGGCAATTATACACTTCAAAAGAATGAATAATTAAAATAATATATCTATATGACATATGGGAGAAAATGATTGATCTATCAGATTTTTTAATCGAAGAATACAATTATCGTAGTTAGGAAGTTAAAAAATGGTTTTGAACAAGCTGCTCTTACAAATTGAAATCATGATGGTGCATTTTAAAGTTTGAGAGCAGAACACATGAAAATAATGAACATGTTTTGTCCAAAATCAAATGCGCCGCCATACCTGTGAGCCAGTTCATGGGTGGCAGTTATGATCCCTCCAAATCCTCCATGATCTTCATTGATAGAAGCACTTTTCTTTGTACATACAGTGCGGACATGGGCATAGCCTGTATAGAGAACCACATAAAATCGGTTAGCAATATGTATAATAGCATATAATAGCATAAAATGCTTTCCTGCACAAAATAGATTAGCAAAACAGCATGAACTTTTCTCCTGATTGCTTATCAAATGCAATTAGACCCTTTACATTTTGAAAATCTAGAATTCAAAGGAGCTTTAAAGCATGTTCAAAATTATTCTAAAACAAAACTGTAATGTTAGATGTTAAGATGTTAAAGTCCCCACCTGTCACCGTTGGATCGTCAGAACGTGTTTCATATAAATCTTCTCTGAAAAAAAAAACAGGAAATAAAAAATGTTAAGTACAATTTAATGTTAAGTGTGTCAAGTCGTCTAATTTGATGCAAAATGGACAGATATTTGTGAAAATGATAAACTGCGGTTTTTATCATACTCCACGATAGGACGATGCTATACATTTATAATGTATTTCAAAATGAGCTATTTGACATCATAAATAATGATAAGTCGACATGCCTGGCCTTTTAGATGTTTTAAAGTTAAATTTAATATGTAAATACCCGGTAAATAACATCAGATGGTCGTGTTCAGGAAGATGTTTAATCATGGTCTCTCTCCAGTCAACCAATCTGTTGAGAGCATCCCAAACTGCTACGTATTTGTACTCGGGGTTAACGTAAGTGTTTGTCCAAGGGGAAAAATTAGGATGCTACAAATGACAATCAAATGTCAATAACTGCATTCATAAAATACATTAATATTTTGTTCATACAGAAAAGGTAAACAAAACTTACATCAGCAATAACATATTCCGTTACTGTGACCTTGATGGCAAAAGTAGGATCCCTGATGTTCTCATAACGAAGGTCAATCTATAATTGAAACAAATATATCAGAAATGCTATTTTTGTTTACTGTAGTAAAACTGTTAGCATGATCAACCTTTCATAAATATAAGTACATTAAACCTTACCCCATTCACAATGTGAGCAAAATACATTCTGATCTTAGATTTGGCATCTCTGTCCCTTGCTCTTACATTCGTCTCTGTACTTGCATTGTAAAACCTGTTGCAGAAAAGGTAAACTTTCTTAATGAACAAAGTTCTTCATAAACTTTACAACCACGATGAATTATTTGGAAAGCTTCAGAAAGTGTCCAGCCCTACCTCATATAGATGCTATAGTCAACCACTACTACTAGCGTTAAGTAGTAGTCACTTGCAGATCCTGAGAACGATCTGAAGGCCTCTCTTGTTTTATCCCTATTGTGCTGGCCGACTTGCTGATTGAAACCTCCCTGAAGAAATGTTGCCTCCCTCTGTTTTTCTCGTCTGGCCAGAGTTTGAAATGGAACGTTTTCCAGAAGGGAATCTAAAATAAAAAAGCACCGTGCTAGTGTACTTCAATTTTAAGATTTGTAAAATTCAAAACAGAATATTGTATTGTAAAGAACTTTAAAAAAAATATGTTATTGATAATTTACTACTTAAGGTGTATTTATTGTTTATTTTTCTAAACATGATATCAAAATATGCTTAAATTGGCTACAGACGTACTTCGACCGACACAGTCTCCTTTAATTTTTTTCTTGGGATCTTTCCTAAAAGCTGCATACAGTTGTCTTCGTTTGGGAGGTGGATTTGGTGGGTATATCTCATTCCCTTGAAAGTCTCCAGTTGCAGCCCCCACAACAGGTTCCCCTGGATACTCCAGTAATCGCTTTTCTAGATCATGATCGATTTGATTGGTTGCAAATGGATTAAATTCTTGCTGGATAGTTTCTCGGATTGGTTGATTTGATTGAATGTAATGGTTGTGATGAACTTTATGAGTCTGAACGTGGCGATTATAATGAGCATTTTGAGTGGGCTGGGCACGATTGTTATTGCTGATTCTGGAATGGACTATATTGTTATTGTTGGCTTGGGCATAAGGGTTATTATATTCTCCGAACAAACTATTGCGCGATTGTCTCGGTTCACCATATCTTCTTGCATGTCTCTTTTTTCTTCTTGTTCCAGGATTTTTCTCCATAGGTGTTATATCATACTCTTCACCATTTACATTCAAACTTCCAATCTATAAAAATGGAAAACGTACATAATCAATTACCTGTTAATATTTACAGAGTGTTCTATGGAGTTTCTGATGCATTTCTTTTAGAGAGCGAGTACATTTCAATATTGAAGACATTACCAAGATACAGTGCCCCTCCGAATCTTCACCACAGGTCACTGTAAAGGCAGCCTGAGTTTCGTTATCCTGGTAAAGGGCTACGTTCTGTAATTATAAAATTAATTGTTAGCCTGACATTATAAAATATTATAGCATTAGAATAATAGTTTCTTTTTAAACAACTATACGACTAGATCATTTGCCTATCATGTGACATTTATTTGTGTCATGTATAATAAGTCATCTCAATTGTTTTAATTTCTTGGACAAGTTAAATCACACAGGATGTTATTTAACTACTATTTCAAAGGGAAAGGTAGTGATTTATATCTTTGAATTGATTTCGGTTCTTTATCCTAACCTTATATTTATATAATTATCTTTGGGAATTCACATTTAAGTGAAATGTAATTGCATGGGAATAATGTATGCCCAGCACGTGTATAGAAACAACTTCTAAAATTTTATAGATATTAGCATACTATTTCAACTGACAGTACATAAAAGATTTAAATAGTATGCCAAATACCGTTTTAATACGTTTGCTTAAATATGCAACTTTAAATAATCAAAAAAGTAAATAATGGAGTATTTAAAAAATGGTAGAAGAAATTACAATCTTTTCTTTAAAATATTTTTTTAATTGGAATGGTCTCTATCAGACTAAATTTTAAAATTGTTCACTCGATTTAATGCATATTCCTTTTTTGCACTCTCTATTCATAATGTTTCTAGCATGTCAAGAAAGCAAAGGGAGGACAGTTTACTAAATCAAATTGTTGTTTAAAGATAGAAAATTAATTAATTGAGGTTATTAGGTTTATGTATAATGCAATGAACATAATTTTTCAGCACTGTTAATTGTCGTGTGGTTAACCTCTATGATTCATTTGAAATAGTAACAAAGTTATCTTGCCATTAAACATTTCGAACTGGCCTGAAAGAAAGTGATTGTTGTCGATTCATTAAAATTATGATTCACTTCTTCAATTGACATTTGATTCCAAATGAATAAATCGAAGTGTCATATCTATCAATCATCTTGAAGGCAAAAACCCAGTATAATGGGGTTTGATTTTTTTTAATTTGTATAACTTAAGAATTATTTATGTCACAGTTTTAGAAAAATGAAAAGTGTCTATGAAAGTCAAAATTATGTTGAATGTTCGAAGACAATAAATAAATGAAAATGAAAATGTGTTAATACTGTAGATAATGATAATCTTATGTTTCAATGAGAACGTATATATTCTATAATTAGCAAAACCTTATGACCTTACTATAGGAAATGTTCTCTGATTTATAATATTTTCATAATTAATTTAAACACTGCAAGAACAATGTCATTTGTGGCAGGTGCGCATTGAACCGTGACACAAGTAACACATGTGTGTAAATTGTCCAAAAAATACAGTTCTAATTAATTTCTTTCTTGCAGAAAAAACAAATGAACACACCCATCTAAAATATCAATGGTAAATTATGATTTGATAAAAAAAAAACCCATTAATATGTCATAATAACACATTCTTTTACATACCTAAGTTAAATTTGAAGTTATGCTTGATAAATTTAAGAAATCTTTACGATACCTGATGGTGCATTTTTAAATTCATTGAAGAAAAAAACTTGAACAGTGACTTGTATAAATGTCAGTCTCGTTTTGCAGAGTCATTAAAGCATAAAATCTTCTCATTTTAGCAAATTGAAATATAATTCTCTTTTTTAACATAAAACATTACATTTAAAGAAAAATCGAATAAGAATTTAATTTATTATGATTTGATTAATATCTTACCTTCAATGGTGGTATATTTTCTTCCTTGAAATAGATTTCTCCAGTGGTAGCATTTTGACGAATAGAGACCATCTTCTGTTTTTCGTATCCAATGGAATTTCTCTTCAGTTTCAGATGAACTGGAGACTCACCATGTACAAGACGGACGTTGAAGCCCAGAGCTGAAGGCATTTCACCTGCTTTCTGGATTTCTGTTTCGGATTCTAGTTCTTCAATGATAACGATATCTGAAGGATCGCTTTCTGCAATTAAAAAAAAAATCATATACATACCAATGTTTTTAATTTCTTGAGTGTAAAGCACAAATTAAATTAAATCTTTTGCATGATACTTGGTAAACTTACCATCTGTAATTACTTCCCCAAATAAAGAACAAAAGATTAATAAAACACATTTTGAAAATAAATATAAAGACGGCATAATGAATCCGTGCGAAATTCTATAAAAAATATATTTAAGTCGTCAAGGAAAAAAATTTCAATAAAATCTTTTCGATGTTTAAAGTCTCCAAAGATTCTTCTGACACTTTTTTTAAGTTTTAAAGTTAAGTTTCCAAATTATAAGTAATAGTTTTTGTTGTATGACATAATTCTTCTTAAGTCGTTAATTTCACAATGGAGTTTCTTGAAGATACGGAACAGCTTAAGTACAGCACATATTGGCAAAATGCTAAATATATCAGTTATCACGTGACAGCCATTAGCATATGTGGGAATTTTCGTGATGTCGTAGCTAAATTTACCTGTGCGAGATAATTGATATAAAAAATATTATTGAAGTATTTCCATTTGTTAAACTTAGGATTATTCATTTACTTTTGACTACAATAAATCGAATAAAATAGCGTCAAAAACTTCCTAAATGCATAAAACGACTTGTTGCATAGGATTCTGCAATTAAAGGAAAGAAAACAAATAATAAAGGCTAATACTTCCTAAGGATCCTAATTTTGACCTCCGTTTTTTTTCTTTGGGACTGTTATTTCTAAAAAAAATCCCATCTCCTTAAAATTATTTTTCAACTTTTGTTGCGAGTTTGGTTCTGATTTCCTCACTCTATAAGCTGATAAAGATAAAAATACTGTTTAATGTCTTTTGAGCACGGAATTTTATCTTCATTCTATTTTCAAAAGTAAAAATTGTTTTTTCAAAGAAAAAAAGAAAAAGGAATATTTTTTCAATAAAATGATTTGTAGATGAGGATGAAAGATTCTTCTAAGGCTCTGTATACTAGTAATTAATGGAACGGTATAAAATATTTAAAAGGTTAATTCTTTTAATGGTCTTTAAAGATACGTTTAATTTGTTTTATAAAAATCACGAAAAACAATATATCACATGCAATTCTAGGTAATAGGCAGTTAAATGAAAAATACCCTTACAGATTTACTTGTTTATTAATGAAGCAGACTCGGAAGTCCTTCGAAGCAATGTTGAAATACAATTATGATTGATTGTATTTGCTTATTTTCATTGTATTATATATATTCATATCAATTATTGGTATTTTGTAACAAGCTATTCTTTTTAACACTTAAAGTGACTTTTAATTTCTTCCTACAAAAACTGTAAAAATAACTTCAGCTGTCCATGCAATGTAATTGTAGCGAATGAATATCTTACCTTCTTTCTAATATGTCTACTGAAATATTTTTTACTTACAGGTTTATATTCTGTCTGGAAACCCAAAGTTTGCTCTCAATATATATGTAGTTTCCTTCTAAATTATTGCTTCTGTCACAGACCTCAATTCCTGTATGTTTCATTGCAAATTGGGGACGGTTTTAAAAGCTGTTAGCAGATTTTTTGGACTATATTCCTGGTTTTACTCATCTGTCTTATCACTTCCGGTTTCCTCTTTTGTGCGTTTCAAATTGTGATATCGTTGTTTAAGACTATATAAGTCATTGATGGTCGTTACCGTTGTGTTTTTACTTAAATTGTAATGAATACAATGGATCCCTGTTAACATGTAGTACTACTATTATGTATCCTTAACAAATTAATTGGTATTGCTGTGTGCAGAAACATATTTTATTTCATGGTTATTTTTATGTGATTTGAAAATCCAGACATATATCTCCTAGAAGGACGTTTCCTGGCCATTTGTGGTTTCAAAGTTGTATGTGCATCGTAGCATTGATTGTGGCTTCATATTTCTAGGCGTAAAGTCGTTAGTCAGCTAAACAAAAAAATATCACAATGATTTAAGACATGTCAGCTTTTTTGTCCTGGTTACTTAATGACTTTTTAAATTACAATTTCTCTAATCGACATGTCATGTCATTAATTTTTTTATGAAGTTTGTACTTTATACACGTGTATCTTCTTCTTCAAACTGTTAAATTGTATGTGTTTATGTATTTTTGAATAGCTAATTAATAAATATTTTTCTTTATTATTAAATGTTCATTTACGTAGACAATATAAGTATCGCGACAAATAAAAGGGAAAAAAAGCAACAAGAATACATATATGTTTGTTACAGATAATGAATTTTAATTTGTCAAAATTATAATAATAGAGTGCTCTTATTAACAGTTGACAATTATTGATCAATGTAATACATTATCTTATTTTTTATATTGCTCAATTAATGCAGGTCTTATGTTTCGTATAGACATAATGTAAAACGCATGATTTGTCTGTAGAGACATATTTCGGAAGTGGTATATTACCGTATACCTAGATCTTATCAAAAGCTTTGTGCTAATCAATTATTCGAAAAAAAGGAAATGAAATGTCAAATAAATAGGTATCAATTTACAACGTCTGAATCTAACTTTCATTATAATAAAAAAGTTTGAAGTAAATTTATTTTGATTTTCACATCGAATGTGAACACACCAGCATAAATCAAACTCGTTCTTTAAATCATTTTACTGTCTTTCATTTTGACATACTCTTAATATAGGATTCATTTTAAGAAAAATAACTGTCTCACTGATTACGTTTTAAGCGATCGTATAATACTTTTACTCTAGCGGCCATTCAAGCTATTTTAAGATTAAATAAAATTGAATTATCTGTAGTTTTCTTTAAAAAAAAAAAAAAGAATTTTACATGTGTTATGGTTTGCTTTAAATTTTTTAAGTTTGTGAAACAGGTGATGATGTATTCTGCTTTCGATTTTCGATTTCTTTTTATGTTTGATAGATAATTTCCACAAAACAACACCGAATGAACAAACATATTTGTGGGTATGTTAAACACTAACGGGCTAAAAGAATCATCTATTTTATCAATTTTTTACATGTAATTTGTAAATATTTTTCTATCATCAATCACATGATGAGCGTATAACAAAAATCTGTTTTTAATGAATAAAAAAGAAAAAAAAGTTCTTCGTCATTGAATTGGGTTTAATCGTTGATAAGACATACGTATGTATTATACAATATTATACACTATTGTGTATGTGTATCGGATATTGTGAATTCAAAACTTTCAATGATATTAAGTTTGCAAAGCACTATTCTCTTTCGTGTCTCTTTTAACATTTCACAGAGGAAGAATGTTTGATAAACACATTGACAAGAAAATATATTGATGATAACATCTGTGTATATATCTTTTCTATATGTTTTAGATGAAGTACACTCCAGTCCTTACTTTTATGTCATAGTAACCTGTTAAGGCTGTATTCTCGTGATTAGGAGACCCAGGTTGGATATTCGTACCTGACTTCACGTCAAACCTAAGACATAAACATTGATAGTGACTGTTTCTTCGTCAAATACCTTATAGTAGAAGTGGAAGTCATAGATCTTTCGGAAAAGATTTTTTTAAAACCGAGATCCTGCGTTCCGATAGGCGTTGCTGTGCTAAAGAACCCTCACTGCTCAAATTGCCATAACTGCACACATTTGATAATTAGGTATAGAACAATAGGTGTGAAGTGTGTTTTGATAGCAATTATAGTCTGATTTTTGGTTTGGATTTACATGGATTTACTTGTGAATACCTAATTTAGCTTAATGTAATCTTAAGAGGTTTAATACAATTTTATAAGCATTTTATCTAAATTTTATCAAAATATTTTATTTTATGGATTACTTTTCAATCTTGATAAAATTCTAAATGAATTAAAGATATAACAAATAATAAATAAAATAGAGAATGATGTCTCTACAGTATATGAGTGAAACATCTCGAGGGAGTGACGTATATTACTTAGTAACAATCAATCAATAGTTTTGATAGGATTCCTTCGATAAAACCATAAAAAACGTTTCTTTTATTAAATCATTTTTTATATCAATATTCCAAAAATTGTTTGTACGTTGACAAAATAATACTTATGACCATCAATATTCAGTTATCATATAGATTTTCCCCTTTGAACAAGATGTAGTTCAAATAATGTAAGTAGATAATGATTAAATGCATATTATTTTGCTATCCACATAAAGATATCTCCTTCTCTATCTCTTTCAAACTAATTACAAGTTCAGGTACTTCATCACAAAGTTACAGAATTAATGATCTAATGTGTTTTCTAGTATGTCATGGTATCACACAAAAGTCCTTGACATGACAAATAAGGAGAAGCTCAAAAACTCCCTCATTTTCCTCATTATGCAAATATTAATGCTTGGAGGCTCGTATTTAATTATGAAATCTAACTATCGACGATCATTATGACGTCATATATCACCAAAGGTTAAACTCATCATAGACCTGAAGACATGTTCTTACGATTATGGTATTCGATCAATTGCCTTTGGAAAATCCTGAGAGAAAATGAAAGCCAGCTGTTCCATAATGTAGTAATTTTCTTTACATTCTGAAAGCACATTCATTATTAAAAAGGATCATTAATGGATCAAAAGTCAACAATGATTGTTGCCATTTCTCAGAATAAAGTGCATTAAAATTGGCTTGTACCTTATAGACATAGCAAGCTATCTTTTCGTCTCTTCCATGGGCAATAAGGTGCAAAGCGGTTTTTGAAAGATAAAAGGAATAAAAATCAACGTTAAAATTATTAAAGTTTTTTAAACGTTCGGCTAGAAATATTAAAGTATTATCCTTCCCTATTAATATGTGTCATTTGACTCAGCAAATTTTAATATTTAAATGACCTTGATTCCTTCCCACTTTGGGCATAAACTTTGTCTGCTTTTAACATAGATTCGTCTACAGTCAAGAAATGTTCGTTAACCGTATGATTGGGCGTAAAGTGCAAACATGGAACTTCATTTGATTTAATTGATTGATGGTTAAAAATGCCATAAATCATTGCGTTTTCTCGCTTGATGCGGAATTAATTGCAAACGTGGTCATCAGCTACCGTTAATTGCACACGGAGGTGATAGAACATTTCATCATCAAATAGTATATCTGTGCAGGAAATGAAAGGACGTGTTTTATAAGTATATCTGGGTGATGTAAAAATAATTTTATATTTCATTGATTTACCATATTTATTTGAAAATAAACTGTAAACTTCAAAAGGAACTTATAATTTTTACTTTATTATAAAAATAAAGGCTTATTTTTTCACAGTATAGATTCCTGACAAAAGAAAGAAATGTCTTGTTGGGACCTTCATTT